TGAAATATTGCATTTGAAATATTTCATTCACATTGCTGCTAGTGTGAAACCCCTATTATTCATATTGATTTATTTTGTTTTTTTTCATTTTATCCCCAAATATGCGTGTGTGTGTCTGTGTTTATTTGAGAATGAATGAATGCATTTCATTTTTTCCCATTGTCATTTAACACTTACCAACAGTAACATGTATTGAACGAGAAATAATTCGACCTAAACCTCCGTTAAATTCAACAACACAACGATAAAGACTATTGTGTAGTTCATTTGCAATACTTGTATAGGCCGAATTTCTATTGATTGTTGATATTTGATTATTATTATTATTATTATTATTATTGGACGTTGATGATGATTTAGAATCGATCAATGATGATGATGATTGTTCATAACCAAAAGGCATGAATGCTAATGAACCATCTGAACGTTGTTCACGTATACCGGATACATCTATAACAGGTACATATTGTTCATCATTTAATGAACGTTCATCACGAACTTCCCAATAAATTTTTGATATAATATTTTCATTATTATTATTATTATTATTATCAAAAAAATGACCATCTCTTGATCGAATATATGATGATGATGTTGATGATGTATCAAGTAAAACTTTATGAAATCCTATCTGACAAGGCAATTGATAACCATATTGATTAGAATATTTTACAAATCCATATGGTTCTTGTATAAAATATGGTATTAAAGCTATATTTGGCCAAATATTTGTCGATATCATTGTTGATGATGATGATGATGGTCCATTCGAAGACATTGAAGAAGATGATGATGATGATAATGATGAAGATATTGAATTAATTGATGATGATGAATGAAGCTCATGATAATGATGATGTAATGATTCAACATATGAACGTATCACTCGACGAATTTGTTGTTGGCTACCATTTTCTTTTAAATTCGATGATAATGATTTATTTTTCCAATCAAAAATAATATCTACTCAAGAAAAAATGAGAAAAAGAGAAACAAAACAAAAAAAAAATGAATTAATTTTTAATAATTCCAAAATGTGAAATTTTCCATTCCATTCCATTGAAAAAAACTGATAAGAGAGAATAAGAAAATGAAAAAGAAAACTTTTCTTTTTTCATTTTTGTTGGCAAGAATCATCATGAATACTTGAATGAATGAAAAATATTTTCCAAATTTAATAACAAATTTTTTTTTGTATATGATGTGTATTTTGAATTTTAAATTTCAAATATTTTTCTTTTTTCATTCTTAGATTCAATTCAAAAAGCTTCGGGCAAATATGATGATGATGAAACAAATCGAATAATAATAATAATAATAATAAAATGTGATCTAACCAAAATAAAGAATCTAAATTTTAAAGAAAAACATTTAAAAAAAATTCCAATAACTATGTGTAAACGAAAAAATAAAAATGTAAAGAATGTGGTTGAAATGAACGTTCAAAACTATCACTGGGTTTCAATTCATCAAATATATTGTACTAAGCAATCCAGAAAAAAAGTTGAAAAAATCATTCAAAATAACAAACGACCAAACAAATGACAACGATAATTAGATTAATTTGAATTTTTTTTCTCTCAATGTTCCAATCTTGAAAAACAGTATTAAACGATAACAACAACAATCGACCAACCGACAGACTGAAATAGATGAAAGGAAATTGAAATAATACCCGACCAAAATAAAAACCTCAAAAATAAAATAAATGAATGAAAGAAAACTTGGCTGGCAATTAAATTAAAGACTTTTGACTTTTGTTTTTGGAGAAAGAAGAAAAAACCGCAATGATCAAACCGCTATAAGAATTCCAATGTAATTTTTTTTTCTTCATTTTACTTAGAATCATCCAAATTAAACTACCAACAAAACAAAAAAAGTCATTCATCGAACGAAATTATACCAGTTCAGTAAGTAAAGATCAAAAAACATTAAATGAACTTAAATTGTGTGCATTTGAAAGGATGTCAATGTCATTGATATATCCATCTAAAAGTAAATGAGGGGAAATGACCAACAACAAAAAAAACAAACAAAAAGTTAAATAAAATAAATTGTCCACCATCATCAAATGATGTGGTTCTTATAGAATAGAGAAAATTGAAACAAAGTTGATGGACATGTTTGATTCTTGTTGTGTCATATATGATGTTGTCACATAGTCGTTTGTTGTTTTTAATTTCAAACAAACAGAAAAATCAATGAAACGAGCCAGATGTATATTGATGATGATGTTGATGATGCACATGTCCATTTTTTTAAAAAAATTCGGAAATACACACACGCAAGACAACGAACGACTTATTCGGACAACAACAACCATTTTTTTTCATTTTGTTTAGTCAACTTTTATCTTTCTCTCATATTGTATAGGCCCTGTAGACATGTGTTTGTCACGTTGATATGTCAAAACTATAAACTAAAACGACAACAATGACAACAACAACAATCCTATCGTTCTGTATATGGTGAGTGAAAAAAAATGTTCCATTTGGATCAAGTGATCGATTGTTTTTTTCTCTTGTTACATATATAGGTTGTATAGAATCGACGATATCAATATCGTGACATGAACCTAAATACATACACCGACACCGTAAAATAGATATCGGCCATTAAGCCTGGCAGAAGTTTCAATTCTGGAATCAACTACGAAAAAAAAAATTTATCAATCAATAATTTATCGTATTTGTTGTATAACCAGAAACACATCTCGATTCAATGGATTCTCTTGATAATAGAAAAATACGGAAAGCAGAAAACAAGAACAAAAACTTTCAAAAAGAAATAATGATTTCAGAGCACAGGTTTCAATCATTGACAACGATCATCATAATCATATTAATCATAACACAGTTTTATAATCATTCAAGAATCAATGATATTATTATGATAATAATGATGATTTTTTCAAAATAAATCAAATATAATCCAAATATTCAATCAAAATCTATTGGACAACACTGAATGAATAATCGAACAAAGCTAAATTTATTTTTTCCTGTTGTTAATTTTGCATTTTGCTTTCCTGTTTCAATTGGATTTTCGTTTTCTTACTTTTTTTTGAATACGATTCATGTATTTATAATCAAAGAAGAAGAAAAAAAATCATACCATTGAAATGGCGGCAAGCCAACCATATATTCATCTTTCATTCATTCATTTATTCATTCGAAGAATAGCAAAAAGAAAAGACAAGACAAGACAAGTAGTTTTTTTTTGTATAGAAAGAAATCTCAAATCTATTTAGGAAGTTGAATAATGACCGTTATTGATAGCTGATGTAGGCAACATTTTTGTTTCATTGGTAAAAATTTCAACCAATCGACCAAACCAGACATTGTATCTGTATTCAAATACAACAAGAAAAAAAAATCGTTCCTGAAACATTCATCGACATCAACAACCCCAAAACCGATATAGTTGATTTTTAATGGATCTTTCTTCAGCGAAGAAAAAAAAACGAAAAAGATTCAAACGAAAACAAAGACCATACGAATTTTGTCTTGTAAAGTTTTTTTGCCTTTATTTTGAAAATATATTTTATTCTTGGAGTTTGATTCAAAGAAAAAAGGAGGAAAAAATTGATCGTCTTCATCATCATCATCATCAATGACAATCACATTGATGATGATGCTTACTGTTGTTTTTTTTATCAATGGTAACTATTCCGATTGATTGATTGAAAATAGGGTTCAATGTTTTTTTTGTTCCCGTTTTATATTTTGTAATGTTTTTCACTACAATTGTAAAATTTTTCCAATTTAATCTAATTTTTAAATGTTTTCAACAACAAAAAAAAAAATCACAGTGGTGATCAATATTTTGGAAATGAATATTTTCATATATGGAAACATATGTGTATCGTTGTTCTTCAAATATTTAAGCCATTTGTTTCAATTTTATATCTTTAAAAAAAATAATAATGAGTTTAAATATAATCATTGGAAATCATTTCTGATCAATGTGTAATTGAAAACAAATACTTTTTAATAGAAAAAAAACCAATTCAATAGATATGACCAAAGAAGTTTTAAAAATGAATTCGATTCTATATGAACAAAATGAACAAATTTACTATCCACATGTGATGTATTTATCGGGAAAAAAATATATAGAGAAAATAGAAATTTGCCACACTTTTCTCTTTTTTTTTCTCGTTCATGTGTATCTGTGTGGGTAGCTCATCTTTTCAATTAGTCGGAAAAACCAGAATCAAATGGACCGGATAGAAATAGACTCTAATCACACACAAACAAAAATACTATGGGTCCAGCCAGAAAAAAAACCAATAGAATCACCAGTCTCAACTTTCATCAAAATGATTGAATGAATGAATTTCATTTGATGGTGACATTCAACAACAACAAAAATGAAAAAAAAATTGTTCCTGTTTTTCATGTTTCATCATCATCAATACCGCAGTGATTGTCGTTACCAAAAATTTTTTTTTATTTTGTTCATTCATTTCACTTTTTTTTCATCTTTGGCTATTTCTGATGTTCTATATTCATTCAATTCTAACCATAATAATAATGATGATGTCTATGAAGTCATTCATCTAATATATAAACAGAATGAATGAAAATGTAATGATGATGATGATGTCGATGTCTGTATGGCTAATAGCTTGCTAATATTTTGTCTTTGTATTTTTTTCATTCTATGTTCATTGCCGGGTATTATTCAATTGATGTTGTGGATGATGATGAAACGAATGACCAACCAAACCAAACCAAACTAAAAAAACAAAATAAAAGATTGTCAATGTATGATAATATTTGGTATATAAAGCTAGCAAATGAAAAGAAAATGTAGAAAAAACCGTACAAAAAACTAAACTAAACGAAAGAAACGAAAAAAATTTGACAACAGAATTGACAATGTTCAAAACATACAAACATCAACACACAAAAAAAAACAAGAACACCATGAACATTGAACTGATGGGTAGAACGACGATTAGGAAAATAAATAATAATAATGGAACTATGGAGCAGAAAAGAAAAATTTGACACTGTGCACATGGAGAAAATTTTTTTTTACTTGAAACAAATAACCAAAAAACAAAACATAAAAATCCGACAGGCAAGAATCATTCAGCCCAACTTTGTTTTGACGTTGTTGGCAGCGGCCAACACAATATTCTATATTGAGATTGATCGATAAATATATGGAACATATCAAAGGAAAAAAAATATCAGCAGTCTCCTTTTTTTTCACGATCAAGAACCAAAAGAATAAAGATGGTCACACACCTACTAACACACGAAGGCTAATGATGATGATGATCGAAATTAAATGAATTCTCTGAAAATAAAAGGCGGTTATAATCAATGACCAAAGGGTCGATAATCAAACATTCCCTTTACTGATAAAGTCCTTTTTCTAGTTTAAATCGAAATACTAAAAACAATTCTATTACATTGTTAACGATGCCGTTGTTGTTTTCATTAGAACAAAATTAATTTAAACAAATCCTTACATCGTATAAATACTGTGGCACAAATGTTTTCCATACAAGAATGGACAACAAATGAAAAAAAAATGTATAAGCCAAAACTTTGTAAAATGGTATCACCCAATAATCTCAGATACAAGAAAATTTTGGGCTGTAAAAACAAAAGAAAACAAAATTAATTATCACATTCTGATCATCACCATCATCATCATCATCGTTGGACAAGAATTTTGCTGAAGAAAATAGATTTTGATGAAAACAAAAAGAAACTTTTTTTCGGTTTTCGGTATGAAATAAATAAGAAACACCAAACTAGCTAAACAAACAAAATAAACCGAGAAAATTTTCATTTTCATTTTCATTTTCAATCCTAAATTGCTTAATACAATAATCATTCGGATGAATATTGGTGCTAATGTTTGGGTGATTTAAATTGATGTAAAATTTTAGTAAAAGTTGATTCTATTCTTAATATATGACCGAAACTATAATCATCATCATCGCTTTTTCTAAGTTAGTTTTTATTTAAATTTATGCAAATTATATGATGATTATTTATTATAAAAACTCTGTTATTTTTTTTGTAGAAAAGAGACAATAATACTGATGACATTTTTTTGCTAAGATCTGAAAATGAACTAGTAAAAAAGAAATAGTGAGGTAATATAATAATTGAAATTTACATCTATTTGATCTTTGACTTACGTTCGGATTGTTGCTGTGTTGGATCATTATTTATCGAGATGGGCATCCATTTTATTGTTGAGGATGATGATGATGTAATTGGATCTGATCTTGATTCATTCGTCGTTGATTCAATTGATTTAGCTCTTTGTTGTTGTTGTTGTTGACAATGTACAAAAATTTTATCATTCAATGTTATTAACAATGTAATTGAAATAAAAATTTGAAGATAAAATAGAAGAAATATTGTTGTACGATGTCGATGATTATGATGATGGCTTACACCACCATCATTACGAACATGATGGAACAATGATTGAACTTGGCACATGTTTTCAATGAATAATGATGATGATGATGATGTAAATGTAATCTTCTTATTTGGCCAAAAATTGATTTGCATTTTTACCCTTTTCTTAGAATAAAAAACAACAACAAAAAAGTTTCAAAGATCCATTCTTTTGTTCATTGAAATGATTTGTTTTTGTTTTTTCAACATTATATATCTATGAAGCATAAAACAAAAATTGCAAAATAGTAATCACAATGGATATAAAGTTGTTGTTTCTCATTTAAATGAATGAATAAAAAAAATTGTGAAATGTAGAATTTCTAAAGTTGAAAAAAAGTTCTGATAATAGTGATTATTATTCTTAATATTATGGTCATTTCTTATTCAAAAACGAAAAAAAATCATCATCATGTTGACAGCATCATTATATATGAAAATAATCATGAACAGCAGACACTTACACACAAACAAACTGACGATAATGACAAAACAAAAAATAATCGATTCTTAGATGACCAAATAATAATATAACAATGATAATGATGATCAACGACAAACAGAATATATATCAGATTAGATCATAATAATTCATATAACATATGATAATGGTGATGATAATGATGATAATGATTACTTTTGATTGAACAAGTCGCATCATCATTCATTACCATAGTGATTATTATCATTATCATTATGTTAATGATGAATAAGAGAAAAAATGAAAATAAAAAAATTCTTTTATCGAATAAAATTGTCTTTTTTTCGTTCTGCCTTAATCACATTTCGTATGAGACATCTTTTTTTTTGTTGTTGCGACCGTTGTTTCAAATTCTAAAACGGATGTTTGATCATAATAATGATGATGATAATGATGATTATTTAATAATCATAACCATAATCATCCAAACAGAACAAGTAATGAACAGAATAAAATGTGAAAAATGAAATTAAGATTCAATGAAAAAATGAAGATGAACATAAAATGAATGAATGTCACAATCAGATGCTTGTTGTTACATAATGTTAGTTGTTTTGAATGTGTTTTTTTTTGCTTTCTGGTCAAGACAGATAGATGGACATCAGAAAATGAATAAATTCTGATTGTAAGCACACAGACGTAAAACATAGAATAATGGACCAAACTTTTGAATTTTTTCATTCAAAAAAAGCCAAAATGATTTACTGAAAAAAGACACAGAAGCATATACAAGAATTTACGTAAAATGATAGTCGCTGGACATAGTTTTGGAAACAAAACAAAACAAAAAACGGAATGGTTTGAACATGAGATAAAGACATTGAATGAATTTCAAAATGTTCCAGTCGAAAAACCGTCTCTATATGATTTTTTCCAAGTTTAAATGATGATAGCTTAGCTTAGAATTTTGTATAGTTCAACGGTCGTTCGTTGAGCTTTATCATTTGTTGTTTTGTGTATATTAATTCATCAGAAGAAAAAATAAATTCTTTTCCGTTGCTGAAATTCTTTTTATTCAGTTAAAAGTTAAACTTGTTTGAATTTCAATATAGCAATGTGCTTTTTTTCAGAAGGGCAACCATTTTTTTCTTTTGATAATGATGATGATGACAAAAAAAGGGATGAATGAATTTCGTTTTCTTTTCTTTTTTTTATAAATCCAAACCGGATTTTCTGTTTTTATTGTTTCTTATTCATCATGATCATTGTCATGTTTGTTGTTGTACCATTATCTAAATCATCATGGATCATCATAGATGATGATGATGATTTTGAAAAAAACTATTCATCCGTTAATGGTGTGAGAGGATTTTCCCAAAGATGGCTGTATGTTTTCTTAGTCGTATCCGATTCGATTTTCATAAACATTTGATGCTATTTTATTCCCGCTAATCTGTATGATTGATTAGATGATATTTTTTTCTTTGATGCTATTATTTAAGCCACAAAATGATTTTCAAATTGAAAATCAATTAATTTGAAATGAATTCGAATGAAAATGAATCCAAAATAATAACAATAAAAATCTTGTGTTGTTGTCACATAGGATCATGAATCATTATTCAGTTTCTATGAAAAAAATTGGGAAAAAATAAGACAACAAAATTATTAGTTTTATAATCGATTAAAACAATGTTTTATCTGCAAAATGATATCTATTGACACACAATGGGTCAATAGGGTTAAAAATACCAAAACAAATGGATTTTTTGTTTTTGATTTTACACTCATTACAATTCATTTATCGTTTTTTTTTGGTATGTTGGTTATCATTGTTATATTCCATTCATTTATTCAATATTCCATTGTTAACATTAAATTCTCAGTTTCAGTTATATTCATATCTTTTCCAGTTTTTTTTTGTTTGTTGTTGTGTTAATTATTGTTGTCACAAAGCTTTACTATGGTGAAACAGTTATCATAACTATGGTTTTTTTTTTGTTGGAAATACAAAATTCCCGAAAAAAATCCTGCCCGAGAGAATGAAAGATAGACAAACCAAAAAGGGCAAAAAATTTCCTGGTTTGCTTTATATCAATTCTATTCTATAATTTTTATTCATTCTGGAACAACAACAACAACAAAGATAACAATAATCATAGTAATAATGATAATATGGATGTGATGAATATGAAAAGTTCCAAAAAAATCAACAACAACAAAAATGCCACCACATATTCATTGAAAAAAACACCCAATGGAATGTAACATTTAAATAGGCTTGAACAGTGCGAAAAAAAATTAATGATCATTCCAATCAAACTTGAAATTTTGCTAAATGAAAATGTATACAATAGTATAGCATCAAAACAAAACCAAAAATTCCATAACACCCACAAAAAAAAACAGGAAATTATGCAAAAAAATCCAAGGCCAAAGATTTAGTTTGATTTTTTTTTACTGTCATGGATTCCATCATCATCAATGATGATGATGATAATAATATAGCTAAAATTTTGCATGTTTTATCATAAAAACTAGGTTGAAAAAAAATCGAATGCACTGCCATTTTTACATCATGATTGTTTTTTGTTTGTTGGCTATCTATAGAAGCTAGGTGATTCTCACACAATTATGATGATAGACAACAAAAAAATATCCAAAATAAGAATTTATTGTGCTTGAAATTCATATTTTTTTTACTGGAAAAAAGCTGCTAGTATTTTGCCTGAACAAATGTCAAATGATAAAAAAAAATCAATCTTGATCGGCTTGCGTATCCAAGCCAAAAAAAAAAACAACCAAACCAAACAAACAAACGAAAGAGGAAAGTTTTGAGACATTATTGAAACCTCGAAAGGGCAAAAGAATATTTATTTATTCTTTTTTTTTTCTTCTTCTTTTTCTTTTTCTTCGCTTCACGATTTGTCGATTTATTTTCCATATACAGTTTCTGGCCATAGTAATATTCAAACACGGAATAAATGGTTGGTACTCGATAAGATCGTGAACAACAATAATTCACCATCATCGAATGACATGATGTCTGTTTGTGTGTGTGTGTGTATGTAATGTAGGTTTTTGTTGTTGTTGTTGTTGTTGGTGTTTTATTTTTTTTCTGCAAAGCTAAGCTAGATTTTTTTTTCTTTGAATACAATCGGTAAAGAACTGATGATGGTAGAATTAGCTCTTAGATGCACACATTTTTTTTCTTTCTTTGGTTCTATAAAAAGTGTCAAGAATATTATTATTGAAAAACCATTGTGAAAAAAAAATTTTGAAAAAAGGGCCTACCACATTGTTACACCAAAATCATAGTTTTTAAAACGATTTATTCGAAATTTTTTAGTGACAAGTTTTATTGAAATTTTCAATCTATTTTTTTTCGTTTGAAAAAAAATAAATTTAAAATATACGAAATAATAAAATGGGTGATGAACAACACACTTGTGAATTTTCATTTTATTTTATTTTCAACATTTTAAAATAGAATTGTTGGTGAATGTCAGAATAATAATAACAACAATAATAAAGAATATGAAAATTAATTTATTATTGAAGAAAAGAAAAGAAATATTGGCAAAATAATGAGTGAATCTAGCCACATTCAGCCTTGAGAAAAATTGAAGAATTTCTTTTTCTTCACATTCTTTTTTTTAGATAAGAAATTCACCACTAAATTCTTCAATTTCAAATCGACTATTTTTTTTTATTGAAGAATATATTTTCCTATCTTGAAGGCATTGACCATTTGTGATGATGATGATGATGATGATTAACATGATCGGGGCAAAAAAGAAAAAAACAAACAATAAAAAAAATTAAGACCAAAATTTTTTCAAATTTCAAAGTATAGTTGCGGAAGAATGAAACAAAAACTAAGGAAAAATTATTCATTCAATTCTATCACATTCACTGTATTCACATTCAAACGATTTGAAAATTCTCTTTTTTTCATCTCAATTTAAAGAATTTATTTTATGTTATTTTTTTTTGAATGAATAATTCAATTGAATAAAAATTCTAAAGTTCAGTAAACGACGACGACAACAACAACAATAAAAAACTAAAAGAGAAAAAAAGATAAACGAAATGAATAGAAATTTCGTTTTTTTTCTTTGCTTTCAATCTACATCCTAGTTGTTGTTATTGTATACAAAGATGGATATTTATGCTCAATTTATTTCTGAATGACGATCTCGATGTTGATGATAATGTTTGGGTCGACAATAACAAATTGAGGTCTGGTTGGCTGATTTGATCTTGATTATTTATACAAGAATGATGATGACGATGATCATCATTATAATCATAAACGATGATAGATTTATTATGATCAATGAATGCAAAAAATGTCAAAAAACAAATCTCATCAAAAAAAAAAGAATTGTCTGAAATCCATCAAATAAATGAAATGATGAAAAAAATGAAAAATCCTTATAGCCAACGAATAGTATTTGAAATTGTCATCATTCAATTAGAAATGATAAACATTATAATTATTTTCATCAAAAATATGATTTTTGTCATTTGTTTTATGTTGACAGCGGTCTTCCAGAATTTGTTCATGTTGTTGACAATCTTTTTTTTCATTTCTATTATCATTATTATTTTTCTTCTTAATTCATTCATAACACATGAAACATGTTGTTTGATAAAGTTT